CCACTCCCCACAGGTAGCCAGCCTAAACCAGCAGTCAGACATCCTTAGCACTGCCTGCTTCTGGCTGAGCCTGGCTTCTGGCTGATCGGTGCTCACTGACCACCAGGGGACAGCTCCTTTGTTGAGCATCTGCCCCCTGATGGTCAGTGTGCATCATAGTGACTGGTCATTCCACTATTCATTGATTTGCATATTAGCCTTCTATTATATAGGACTAAAGGCTCGGTGCACAAAATTCGTACTCATAGAGGGGTTCCTCAGCTCAGATTGAACCATCTCGCAGTCTGGGAGCCCTCAAGGGATGTCTGACTGATGGCTTTAACCTGTTCCCCATAGGGAGCAGGCCTAAACCAACAGTCAGACATCCTTAGCACTGCCACAGAGGAGTGAGAGGCTTCGTCCACCACTGCAGTGTAGCCAGCCAAGAGCCCAGCTTCTGGCTGAGCAGTGCTCCCGCTGTGGGAGCACACTGACCACCAGAGGGCAGCTCTTCTGTTGAGCATCTGTCCCCTGGTGGTCAGTGTGTGTCATAGTGACTTGTTCTGCTGTTCAGTTGATTTGTATACTACCCTTTTATTATATAGGATAATGTCTTATTATGGAAAAGGCCTCTAATTCAATTTTTTTTAGGTAGTTAAAGGGAGGGGCAGAATTTTCACTTGAGCCTGAAGCTAAAAATGCCCTTAGCTCAAAAATCTGCATACCACCGAGACACATCTTGGTGAGGCTCATTCTGAACTCCCACTCTGTTCTATTATGTGTATTGGGAACCAAATTATCTCTTTAGTGAAAGGAACCTTTTGTTATGTTACAATGACTAACTTTATCTCATGAGTTGTGTTTTGGCTTCAAACCTGTATCCAGTATTCATGGAGCAACTTCAGCTCTTCTGTACAATATTTACCTGGCATATCTTTTATTTTATTTTCTCTAAATCTTTCTAGATTTTTATGTATTAGATAGAAATAGTCCATGGACACATAAACACAGACAATAGTCTGGTGAGGGCCTAGAAGGAGTGGGTGCAGGGTGGAGGAGATCAATGGGGGGAAAAAGAAAAGAAAAAAAAAAGGGACGCCTGTAATACTTTCAACAATAAAGATACATTTTAAATAAAGGAAAATATCTTATTTGAAGAGTTTTATGTGAAATAATATAATTGCTCTACACTGTACTTTATATTCTCAACTCCATTCAAAGAGATATTAATTGACCCTATGTTCACTTAATGTTAATTGACATTATGTTCATTGACTGCAGGACTGACTTCTGCCACACAGACCCAGCACTGACTGCCAAGGGGGCTGCGATCAGACCCTGCTTTTCTCTCCCAGCCTCTGTCCGGGCCTGATCGCAGTTTCCTTCTTACAATGCCTGCAAAAGGGGCTGTGGCACTGGACCAACAGCACCGGCCCAGCTCGCATGCCGCCAGCCCTAGACCCTCGCAGCCACTGTGGCTTTGTCCAGATGAAGGTTCTGATGGACTTCCGGAAGACGTTCACCATAATTAACATATTACCCTTTAATTAGTATAAATACCTTTGGAATGTCAGAGTAATCCCCCTATTTCCAGACCCCTCAGGGCATAATCTCCCACCAGAACACAAGATCACAAAACCCCTCATTGTTATTGTGTTCTTCTATTATTTCTATTATATGTACTGCTAAATATTGTTACCCTAGCCTGGCTTGTTCAGTGATTAGAGCATCAACCCATGGACTGAAATGGCATGGTTTCGATCCGGATCAAGGACACGTACCTGAGTTGTAGGCTTAATCCCCAGCCCCAGTTCGGGCACATGTAGGAGACAACCAATTGATGTGTCTCTCTCACATTGATGTTTCTCTATATACCAAGCGTACTGGTTAATAATGGTGGATTTTGTAATCAAAGGAAACATGATAATTTCAAGAAACATTAGAAGTTCTTTATTCAAAGTAATGTCCATCGCTAGCTAGACATTTCTGCCATCTTTCAGGTAATTTATGGATACTGTCCCAATAGAACTTGTCTTGTTTTGAGGCAAACCCTTCAGAGACCCAATTTTCCACTTCTTCATATGTTTTGAAGAGCTACACAGAAAGTGCGTGTGCCATCAACTGGAAAAAATGGTAATCTGAAGGAGCAAGAACTGGTGAATACAGCAGGTGAGTTAATACTTCCCAGGCAAGATCTTTTAACATGCCTTTAACTGGTTTTGAAGTGTGTGGTGGTGCTCCATCATGAAGCCAAATTATTTTGCCATGTCTTCTGGAACATTCTGGTCGTTTTACGATCAAAACATGGTTCAAATTAATTATTTATTGTTGGTAGTGATCAATATTAATTGTTTCATCTGGTTTTAGAAGCTCATAATATACCACACCTTCCTGATCCCACCAAAGGCAGAATATTGTCTTCTTTCCAAAGCAATTTAGCCTTGGAGTCAATGTTGATAGTTGACCTGGATCAACCCATGATTTTGTGCATTTGGAATTCTCAAAATAAATCCACTTTTCATTGCCAATCACAATTCGAGGCAAAAAAAGACTTTCTTTTGTGCCACTGATGACTTTTCAGTTTTCCATTTGTCTTTCATTCAGTTGATGTGGCACCCATATCTCACATGAGTGAAATCATGATTCTTGATTTTTCTGACTTATTTCACTTAACATAATATTCAAGAGGTGCTTTTTAATTCTGAAATTATACAATTTCTACTGATTTTTTTCCTTAAAGTTATGTCCCTTTATATTTCTGTTAACTGACTAAATGTATTTCTAAAACTTGAGAAAAATTCAAATTTAAGATCAAGATAACCATTTAAATGGGACCAGAAATCAGTAACTATCAATAAAAATCAGCTTCTGACATTTGTTGACAGTTTTATCTAATTATGGAACGAAGAAAGAAATGTCCCTGTGAACTATAAAGACTATGGAATTTGCTATCCTCTACTACATACTTCAATATAAGGTACACAGTAGTTATCCTAACTAATAAAAGAGTAATATGTAAATTAGACGTCACTCCGCTACAAAATGGCGGCGCCCATAGCCACAAGATGGCGGCACCCAGTACTCTCAGCCTTTTCAGGGTCCCACAGTCTTGCTGGGAGGCACTCAAACCCCCACAAACCAATCCCTCCACCAGCTGAGGCAGACCTGGGTATGTGGCTGGGAGCCAGCCAGGCCCCACACATGGATCCTAGCACCATCGACGGATCCCAGCTACCAGTGGAGACAGCCTGGGGTGTGCAGCTAGGAGGCTTCAGATCCCCACGCACCAAATCCCCTCCACCATTGGCCAGGTGTGCGGCTGGGAGGCAGCCAGGCCCCACACAGCTATCCCTGCCACCAGCGGCCAGGATGTGCAGCTGGGAGGCATCAGATCCCCACACACAGATCCCCGCCGCCAGGGGCCAGGGTGTGCGGCTGAGAGGTGCCTGGGGTGTCCAGTCAGGGGTCATGTGGCATGCACCCACTTCAGTAGCAGATCAAGCCTGGCTGCTCTGCGACCTCTGAAGTGTCTGGGGCTGATTGTTTGGGCCTATGAGTCTGGGGACCAAGTGGACAGGCGGGATCCGCCTACTCCAGTGGCAGAGTCAGCCTCACTGCTCCCCAGCATCTGGCATGTCTGGGCCTGTCTGCCCCTCCATGTGACTGGATGTTGCGTTCAGGGGACACACAAGTGGGTGGGGAGTTGACTCTGGGTCTTCTGGCGCAGGGGGTCTTGAAGCTGTGTCCCAGTTTGTGCTGGCCCAGACTCTGACAGCAGGAAGGAGGAAGTCCCACCTGCACAGAATCAGCCAGAATCAGCCATTGGTCAGATTGCTCTCAGTGGTCTGACAGCCATCTGACAGCAGGGAGGAGGAAGTCTCACCCTTAGAGAATTGACCAGTGGTCAGACAGCTCCCTGCCATCTGACAGCCAGGTCTATCATTCACCTGACAGCAAGGAGGTTGGATTATGTCTAAACATCTTGATACAAGGTAGCTCTGCAGCCAAAAGAAGCCAACATGGGAAGGCAGTTAGGGGTGATTAGGCTGGCATAGGAGGGAAGTTGGGGGCAAACAGGCTGGCAGGGGAGCAATTAAGACATCAATCAGGCTGGCATGGGAGTGGTTAGGGGGTGATCAGGCTGGCAGGCAGAAGCAGTTAGGGGAGTAGTTGGGAGCCAGCAATCCTAGATTGTGAGAGGAATGTCCAACTGCCCGTTTAGGCAGTGGGACATCCCTCGAGGGGTCCCAGATTGGAGAGGGTGCAGGCTGGGCTGAGGGAATACCTCTCCCCCCCACCCCCACCCCCAAATTTCGTGCACCGGACCTCTAGTTCAATATAAGTTGAATGGATAAATAAATGAATTTAGACTGACTCAGCAACAAGTTGAAGGGCATTTTATTCCGAGCAATGTATTAGGTTTCCTTAACTGGATGGATTGGCCAAAGGTATGTCATTTCAATGTCCTGGCAACATATAAAGCTACAGGAAATAACCAAGACCAGAAATGGAGGTAGTGGTGGAGAGGGTAGAGGTTTAAAATTCAGATAAAATTAAATGTGCGCAGCATCCTAAAGGAAATTATTTACATTAAAAGTAATACAGGAAAAAGATAGATTCTCAAAGATAAAATTTCAAATTATACTTATAGTTATTCTCCTCAATTTTAAGCAAAATGCTAGTTTTCCAGACTTAGATACTGCTGCATGAAAATGTACTAGAATTATATAAAGAGATCTACATTTTACTTTTTCTAAAGAAGATAGTCCTATAATCCCAATTTTATTCTACAGAAAACTAAGAGTTTGAGACGATAAGTAACTTGGGATTTGAGGCCAAGTTTGCCTCCAAAGTCTTTGTTCTTCATGTTATGGTGCCTTGAAAACTATAAACGATTCTTTGATTATAAGACACCTTAACCTCTAAGTAATGCAGAGCCATTAAATAAATGGATAACAACCAACTATATTCTAGTTCAATATTAATCATAAATGAGATAAATACACAAAGAATATACTTACTCATTCCTGAGCATTCTCTATCACCATCCCATACATTAGAAACAGCATGTCCCGTCAATAGGAGGTTAATTAAACTTTGGCTATTAATAAAAATTAAAAAGTAATTAAAATGTGAATAAACTAATTTTCATATAAAATTATCCCTAAGATAAGGCATAAGGGAATGACTTCTTACATTAAATTATGTTAAGAAACAAAGTTAGGAAAAATCTTATATTTTTTCATTTTATACACTCACTGAACAACAGCCTTATTAACTGAATCACTAAAAGAATCTATTGTTCCATTTATTCACATAAATGTAAAAACTTTATCTAAGATACTAAATTTAATTTTTAAAAATGATACCTAGGTTGATAATTTACTTACTCTATATAATCATCTCTTAAAATCTATAATAATCTATAATAATAAAAGCATAATATGCTAATTAGACCAGACATCCTTCCAGACGTCTTTCTGGATGAAACCGCTGCTGTGGGGCCCAGGCAGCCGTGGCAGGGGCAGGGGCAGGGGCAGGGATCTAGGCCCTTGCACGAATTTCATGCATTGGCCTCTAGTACACGTATAAATGTTATGTTATGTTATGTTTGATGAAACATGTGAATTTTAACCTCTGAAACAGAAAGTTATAAAGAAAGCACTCGTTGTTTGTCGCTGTTAATCCTCACCTGAGGATATTTTTTTCCCAATGATATTTAGAGAGAGTGGAAGGGAGGGAAGAAGAGGAAAAGAGAAAGAGAGAGGGAGAACCCAAGACTCTCCCAGTGGGGGGGGGGGGGGGGGGGGGGGGGGGGCACTGCTCTAACCACCTAGGAAACACCAGCCAGCGCAAAAAGTACTTATTTTTTAGAGTGAGTTAATAATCACTGTTTTATTGCCGAAACCGGTTTGGCTCAGTGGATAGAGCGTCAGCCTGCGGACTGAAAGGTCCCGGGTTCGATTCCGGTCAAGGGCGATAATAGACTTCAGATAATTACCTGCCATGTCCATACACAGGATCTATCAAAGGTTCAGTTGAATCTTCAATTTCATTTTTTATGTTTTCAATGCCCTAAAGAAAGCAAATATTCTTGGCTTATTTTAAAAACTAGAAATGCAAATTGTAGTTTAAAAATTAACCAGTTTATATTAATACTATAAATTAATAAAACACAATTATTTAAGTAGCTTTTCTCCCAAAAAACTAACCAGATATGAATTAGGGGTACATCTGAGATAATTGTAACAAGTAGTTTCTCCAAGAGTATCTTTTTATTTTCTTTCATGGGCGCTATATAAAGAATATATATAATATGTATAATAGATCCAATGTTGTTTAAATGGATAGAGAAATAATGTTTAAATTTCAAGAGGAGGAAGGAGAAAATTATTTAATCCTAAGTTAATATTCATTTCACTTTAGGTTAAATTAAATTCAAAACTAATATACCTGTTAAAGCACCTAGTATGTTCTCTTAGATCATTATCAAAGCATCTGATATATTTTCTTAAGTCATTTATTGGTACTAAATAAATACACATATGAGTGTTGCTAGAGATATAAATTTAAAGTCACAAAAGGTATAAGAAATACATAAGAAAATGGAAGATTTGTTTCTGATTGTGTGTTCTCAGAAATATTGGTAATTCAAATGTGTACCATAAAATTATAAATTAAGGTGGCAGGAAGCTTCTTATTTTCTTGTATTTTTAATCCCCCAAAGGGCATCCAAATCTCAACAGGTGTAGATACTGGACCATTACAAAAAGACCTAAGCACAACTCCAAAACGATAAAGATAATCTACCATTGGTTCTATCAGGTCACAGATCACTTCTAAGGGTTAAAGAGACAATTAATCAATGATCAAAATATTTAATGATTGTGTAACTATGTTAGAAGGAAACAAACAAGTATGAGATCTTGTGCTTGCCTTCCTTGTAAACAATACAAAGCAGGCTCTGATAAAGCTAAAATGAACAATAGGAACAGGTGACATAACAACTGGAGAGGGTGGGGACATCATTTCAAAGACAGATTCAAAGAACAAAAACTAGGCAGGGTGGCTTATTGGCTGCAAAAGACAAGAGGCAGAGGAGATATCCAAAATCTTGAGCATAAAAAACTGGAAAAATAATGGACAGTTAAGACAAAGTCATAAGAACCCAGTCATCTTAGATACCTCTACCGCTAATCTCCACCACTTCTGACCACCTACCAATAACTTTTGATACTTTCACTTAAATATCCTCCTAAATGTTTTAAATTTCTAAATTTAAAACATGCTTCTAAATATGCCCCTTTTTGATATATGCACCCATATGTTCATAGCAGCACAATCTACAATAGCTAGAATTTGGAAACAGCCTAAGTGCCCGTCAGCAGATGACTGGATCAAAAAACTATGGTACATTTACACAATGGAATACTATGCTGCCATAAAAAAGAAAAATTTCTCATCATTTGCAGCAACCTGGATGGAATTGGAGAACATCATGCTGAGTGAAACAAGCCAGTCAATGAAAGAGAGACACCACATGACCTCACTTATTTATGGATGATAAAGAACATTATAAACTGAAGAACCAAAAGATAGATATAGAGACAGTAAAGCAACAAGCAGACTGTCAAATTACAGCGGGGAGGCTGGGGAGATCTGGGGAAGATAAGAGATCAACTGAAGGACTTGTATACATGCATGTCAGTACAACCAATGGACACAAAACTCTGGGAAGGGAGGGTATGTATGGGGGGGAGGGCATTGGTATATGTACAAAAATAATGACTTAATAAAAAATATATTTAAAAAAAAACTATGGTACATTTACACAATGGAATACTATGCTGCCATAAAAAAGAAGGAATTTTCATCATTTGCAGCAACCTGGATAGAATTGGAGAACATCATACTAAGTGAAATAAGCCAGTCAATGAAAGAGAAATACCACATGATCTCACTCATTTATGAATATTAAAGAACATTATAAACTGATGAACCAAAAGACAGATATAAAGACAGTAAAGCAACAAGCAGACTGTCAAATTACAGCGGGGAGGGTAGGGAGATCTGGGGGAGATAAGAGATCAACCGAAAGACTTGTATACATGCATATAAGTACAACCAATGGACACAAAACTCTGGGGAGGGAGGGTATGTGGGGAGGGAGGTGCAATGTTAAAATATGTACACAGATAATAATTTAATTAAAAATAAATAAATAAATAAATATGCCCCTTTTCTTTTCCATTTCCACACTCACTGCCCTAGCTTAGGTTCATTTATTTCAATAAACACTTTTTAGTTTTCCTGATTCCACACACCAACTCCCTCCAAAACAACTCTTATCCCAATTTAAGGAAACTTTTATTAATAAAAAGGTCTTGTTACATCCTTGTTGAAAATTCTTGTGTTATTCTAATTTTGGCCACATGAAATCTAAAGTATTTTTTCATAATATACAAGAACCTTCACACTCTAAATCTTATTTATATAACTGCCCAGTCTCATCTTCCACAGTTGCCTTTCTGGTGGCTTATGCTGCAGTAATATGAAACCACTATGGTTACCAGACACGTCATACCCCGAACTGATTATACCTTTACTAGAGACCCAATGCACGAAATGCATGCAAGAGTAGACCTTCCAGCCCTAACTGGTTTGGCTCAATGGATAGAGAATCGGCCTGTGAACTGAAAGGTCCCAAGTTCGATTCCGGTCAAGGGCATGTATCTTAGTTATGAGCACATCCCCAGTAGGGGGTGTGCAGGAGGCAGCTGATCAATGTTTCTCTCTCATCAATATTTCTAACTCTCTATCCTTCTCCACTCCTCTCCGTAAAAAAATAAATTAAGATATATTAAAAAAAAAAAAAAAAAAAAGAGTAGGCCTTCCTTCCCCCTGCTGCTGGCAGGCACCTGGGACCCGGGCTTCATCTGAAAGGACATCCCTCACAGCCCCCACTTCATCTGCAAGGACATCCAGTCTAATAAGAATATTATGCTTTTATTATTATAGATTACTAGAGGCCTGGTGCATGAAATTCGTGCATGGGAGAGTGTGTCCCTCAGCCCAGCCTTCACCCTCTCTAATCTGGGACCCCATTTAGGGCAGTCAGACATCACTCTCACAATTCAGGACTGTTGGTTCCCAACTGTTCACCTGCCTGCCTACCTTCCTAAATTTCCCCTAACCGCTTCTGCCTGCCAGCCTGATAACCCCCTAACCACTCCCCTGACAGCCTGATTGATGCCTAACTGCTCCCCTGCCAGCCTATTTGCCCCTAACTGCCCTCCCTGCAGGTCTGATAATCCCTAACTGTGCTCCCCTGCAAGCCTAGTCATACTAACTACCCTCCCCTGCAGGCCTGGGTCCCCCCCAACTGCCCTCCTCTGAAGGCCTGGTAACCCCTAACTGTGCTCCCCTGCAGGCCTGATAACTCTAACTGCCCTCCCCTGCAGGCCTGGGTTCCCCCCAACTGCCCTCCTCTGAAGGCCTGGTAACCCCTAACTGTGCTCCCCTGCAGGCCTGATAACCCCTAACTCTGCTCCCCTGCAGGCCTGGTCATCCCTAACTGCCCTCCCCTGCAGGCCTGGGTCCCCCCAATTGTCCTTCCCTGCCAGCCTGGTTGTCCCAACTTCCCTCCTCTGCTGGCCTGGTCACCCCTAGCTACCCTCCCCTGCAGTTTTGATCGCCCCCAACTGCCCTCCCTTGAAGGCCTGGTCTCTCCCACCTGACCTCCCCTGCTGGCCTGATCTCCCACAACTGCCCTCCTTTGCAGGCCTGGTCCCTCCCAACTGCCTCCCCTGCTGGCCATCTTGTGACAGCCACCTTGTGTCCACATGGGAGCAGACATGAACTTCCTGCCATGTAGCTTCAAGCTACCAGAACATAGGCCCCACCAACAACCTTAATCATCTTCTCAGCTCTTCTGAAGAATTTGGCCTTCACAATGACAGGCTGCTTTGGGAACTTTCTGTTCCCTGGAACTCTGTAGTAGCCCGATCGCACCACAACAATGATAGGAGCAGCTATGATACATGGCAGCATTTACCCATGTCTGCTCACTGACCAGGGTACACAGTTTATCCAAGTTGACAGTTTGGCAGAAGCTCTGGTCCTTCTTTAAGTGATAATATCTCATACCAACTTTCCCAAAGTAACCTGGTGAGGATGTGAAGGCGATCTGGCTGTGACATCTGTCACCCCATTGATCGCCAGGGTTGATTCGGCTGATCTGGCTGGCTAGACGAGTGTCCCCCTCCTCCCTCACCGATCCATGTGCATCCCTCCTGAAGCTGCGCACTCAGTCGAAGAGGACAACTTTCCCCCAAGAGGAGAGGAGAGGACTGGTCTTCGGTCAAAGGTAAACGAGTAGCTGCGCTCCCCTGCTAGAACCTCCACACAAGCTCTCAAGGTCCAAAGTAACCTGGTGATATTTATCAAAGTTAATCTTGTGATGATGCAAGCCACCAACATTACCTCGGTCCCCCAGGTGCTTCCTGTGTTTGCCAATGCAGCTGTGTCCATAGCTCATGTGACCCTGAAGTTTTTGGGTCTTCCTCAGTTTGGATGTCACGTCGATGGCCAAGAAGCAAGAGCTTCCCCCAGTTTTTCTGCCTCGAAAACTTTTCATCATTCATTGAATGATCTCTACTATACAAGCCCCCACCCCCACTTTCATTTCACCAAATAAAGTTAGGTATACCTTTACAATTTTCCCTCCTTTGTGCATACAACACACACACACACACACACACACACACACACACCAAAAAAAAAGCTGCTATAATGGAAGTAATCATTAATATGTCAATTGTTTTGTACAACACTGAAGAGAAACCATTCAGTATAATTCTATCCCCAACATTATCAGCCCAGAGCCTAACATATAATCAATACTCAAAAAACATGTGTCAATTGAAAGAAGTTTGATTTTAGCAGGGTAAATCTGATTAGATAACTAGGACTAATAGGAACTTGGGGGAAAAGGGCAGGACTAGTATTGTTCATATTGGAATTAACACATAAAGGTAAGCTGAGGGTATAAAATATCCATAAAAGAAGCAGAATACAGAACTCAAGGGCTGAAATTAATGGACTATAAAAGCTTAGTTAGAGGAAGGGGGGGAAGACTCTACCTGGAGAAAAGAAGAATATAATAGGTAAACATGGAAATATATAAACCAAAAAAAAGTTATTATGAGACATTATAGAAAGAGAACTTAGTGCAATGATTTATCAGATTAGTTAAAAAAGGGAGTGGGGATTAGAAAGAGCTTTTTAGAAGGGGTTAAGGTGTCAATTGCCAGACATTGCTAAGAGGAAAGAAAATAAAATTCAGAGGAACTGAGTGCATTTCATAGGACATTAATGATAACCTCTGCAGTCTAGAAGAACAGGGGTGAAAATCAATTTCAAAGTGGTTAAGTAACAAGTAAGTGGAAAGAAAGAGAATTATTATTATTAGCATAAGAGAGTTTTATTCTGAGATTTAGAAACAGCATCAAGAATAAATTTTTGGAGAAACCAAGATGGTGGCATAGGTTAACACCTAAACTGCAACCTCACACAACAATTTCAAAACTATAACTAAACGACAAAACAGACATAATCCAAAACCCACAGGAAGGCTGGCTGAATGGAAATTCAACAACTAGAAGGAAAGAGAAAAACACACTGAGACTCACAGGAACTGCATAAGGTGGAGGTACGGAGGCTCACATGGAGAGGGAGGAGCATGCGCAGAGAGGGCTGGCAACTGAGTACGAGGCTGGCTTTCTCAATCAGGAGGGAGACAAAAGCTCCCAACTGCTCTGAATTCCAGTTCTGGGCGAGACTCTGGGAACCCAGATTCATACAGGGGAAAACTGGACTGTCTGGCAGTGGGCAAACTCGAGGGCAGGTATCTCTCACAGGTGCTTGCAACAATCACCGCAGGACACTGAGACCCAAGGGCCTCTTAGGGCAGGGCTGACAGGAAACCATTGCTGTGTGTTCCACCCTGAGATTCCCACCCAATGAAGCCATTGTTGTTAGCTCCATTTTTGCATATGAATAGATTGGTCCTTTGAATTCTAATCTTACCTAACTAACTGCAGCTGAGTCAGTGAGACCAACAATATCCAAAAGAGGGCCCAAGGCCCAACAGCAACTTGCATTGCTTCACAGCTGGGCCTCATCTGGGCAACTCCAAAACCCAAACAAGGAAGAGGAATCTGCATATCTCTCCATAGCTCCTGCTGGGTGGCCTCAAGCAGAGGCTAAATTAGCACACCCTTGGAAACCCAAGAGCCCAGGGGTCTGAGTGGGGCCATCCAGATTACAATTCCTCAGATCCATAAGAAATACTCTTGTCTCATAAGGGTGTTTCCAGCACAGAAGTTCTCCTATTGTAGGCACAGCTGATCCTCACAGCCAACTGACCTGGAGGTCAATTCCTCCCAGTGATATCAACAACAATCAAGGCTTAACTACAACAAGACTGTGCACACAGCCCACAAAGGGATGCACCAAGAGTGTCCACCTCAGGTAATTAGGGAGGCTGAGCCACTAGGCTCTATAAGACACCTAGCACACAAAGCCACACTATCAACATAGGTAAGCAGCCAAAATGCAGAGACAAAGAAACAGGTCACAAATGACAGAAATGGAGGAAAGCAAACTACTGGATATAGAGTTCAAAACCACGGTTATAAGGTTACTTAAGAATCTTCTAGAAGAAGAAACCAAGATGGCGGCACAGGGTAGACACCCAAATGCAGCCTACCACAACAAATTTGAATTTAGAACTGGAAAACAGGGGAGGCATTGCCCTGAAGCACCAGACGGCTAGCTGAAAGGAGGCTCTGTCATCTGGGAAGGAGAGAGAAGGCATGCTCAACCTCAAGAATTGTGAAGGTATGGAGAACTGTGTGCATGAAAAGGCTCTGGCTTAATCCCTGCAAGCAGAGAGGGAGGGCCGGACCAAGATTGCTGCTAGCGGACTCCCGGAGCGCAGAGAGAGCGGTCCCGGCTGAATTCACTGCTGGCTTACTCCCGGGGCACGGAGAGGGCGGACAGCTAACACGTGGCTGGCTTTCTTGTTCGAGAGGAAAACAGAATCACCCTATTGCTCTGATAGATGGCCCCAGTCAGGGAGAGGCCAGACTGTCAGGCAGTGGGCAGAGATCTCTCGGAGGTGTGTGAAGCCAGTGGCCAAACTGCAGGACTTAGGGAGGAGCCGAAGGGAAAACAAAGCTTGTCTGCACCAACCCGAGACTCCGCCCCATCCAAGCTGAGCACAGCAGCTCTCCCAGAGGCTGGCTTCTCTAAGGAGGGACTGGCCAGAATCCAAAGTTTGTCTGCACCTTTACCAAAGAGGTGCTTACGCCTGCAACCAATCTTCTGAAACTCACTGTGAACAGGACTTTTCTAAGGTGAGACTGATAGGGAACCAAAGATTGTCTGCGCCACCTCGAGACCCCGCCCCATCCAAGTGGAGTACAGAAGCCCTCCTAGCTGAGACACTGCTGATACTCACAGCCAATTGGCTTGGAGATCAATGCTTCCCAGTGATACCAACAATAAGCAAGGCTTAACAACAAGACTGCACACACAGCCCACAAAGGGCTACATCAAGACTGTCCACCACAGGTAACTGGGAAGGCTGTGCTACTGGGCTCTACCAGAACACCTAGCACATAAAACTATTCCATCAAATCAGGGAAACAACTAAAATGCAGGCAAGAGGCAGGATACAATGGAAGGAGATGGAGGAAAAGAAAAGAATGGACATTGAGTTCTAAACTACAGATATAAGGTTATTCAAGAATATCCTAAAAAAAGGCCAATAAAATAAATGAGACCTATGAGGATATGAAAATGGAGCAACTAGAAATAATAAGGGATCAACTAGAAATGAAGAAAACATTGTCTGAAATAAAAAATATTACACAAAGTCCTAAAAACAGACTGGAAGATCACAAGAATCAAGACAAAGATTTAGAACACAAAGAGCCAGAGGACACTCCTTTGCAGAAGCAAGAAGATAAGAGAATCCAGAAAGTTGAAGATAGTGTAAGAAACCTCTAGGACAATTTCAAGCGAACCAACATTAGAATTATGGGGATCCCAGAAGAAGAGAGAGAGCAAGATATTAAAAACTTATTTGAATAAATAATAACAGAAAACTTCCCCCACCTGGTGAAAGAGACTTTCAGAGAATCCCAAACAAAAGGAATCCAAAGAGAACTACACCAAGACACATCATAATTAAAATGTCTAGAGCAAAAGTCAAAGAGAGAATATTAAAAGTAGCAAGAGAAAAAGTTAGTTACCTACAAGGGAGGACCCATAAGACTGTCAGCTGATTTCTCAACAGAAAGGATGCAGGCCAGACAGAAGTGGCAAGAAATATTCAAAGTGATAAAAAGCAGGAACCTACAACCAACATTACTCTACCCTGGAAAGTTATTCAGAATTGAAGGTGAGATAAAGAGCTTCACAGATAAGAAAAAGCTAAAGGAGTTCATCACCGCTAAATCAGTATTATATAAAATGCTGAAACGTATTCTTTAAGAAGAGGAAGAAGTGAAACATGTAAAGATAAAAGTTATGAACAACAAATACATATCTATCAACAAATGAATCTAAAAATCAAGTAAATAAAAAATCTGATTAATAATCTGGTGAATATAATAAAATCTGGGCATAGAAAGGGGATGCACTGACAATTCTCAAGGGGAAAGGAGTGTGGGGGGTGTGGGAAGAGACTAAACAAAAATTGTACACCTATGGATGAGGACAGTGACGGGGGGAGGGGAGTAGGGGAGGATAAAGGCAGAGCGTGGGGTGGGAACCAGGTGGAGGGGAGATATGGGGGGGAAAAGGGGAACAATTGTAATAATCTTAACAATAAAGGTTTATTTTTAAAAAAACAATAAATTTTGTCCTTATAGCAGGAAAATATACTAAACTCAGATTAATAAAAGCCAGCAGAAACATCTTCAACAAACCTTTGTTAATAACACAGAATACAGAAAAAGCAATACTCCAAATTTGCTTCCCCACATTGAATACTGGTCCAAGACAGCATCTTTTAATTCGGATAAATTTCCGAATGATCTTTTCCTGGGGGGTGAAAAGAATTAAATATGAGTACCATAATAAGGTTTACTACTTTCGTAAATGGGAAAAATCTTAAATTGTCTTATACATTAAAATGTACCTATGCAGAAGGAGATTTTTGTGTCTAAAATTTTCAAATACAAATTTAGCCATTAAAAACAAAAGCTATTGCTGACAACTGTCACTATATATAATACACGCCATTTAAGATAGAATGCACACTTGGTAGGGAATGTCTTCATCTCTTATGTGAACTGCCTGGCATTAATAAATTCTTCAATAATCATACAGTTATTTAAGTACTAAAGTGGCCCTCTTCTAAGATGAGTTTAAGAACAAACAAAATTTGACTTTTGTGTATCTGCAACTTTTTTAAGAATTAATATTTCAAATGCCACTTATAATTCTATCATCATAGCTATCCTCCCTTTTATTTTGTAATAAAAAGTTTAAATGATCGCCGAAACCGATTTGGCTCAATGGATAGAGCGTCGGCTTGGGGACTGAAAGGTCCCGGGTTCGATTCCGGTCAAGGGCATGTACCTTGGTTGCGGACATATCCGCAGGTAGGGGGTGTGCAAGAGGCAGCAGATAGATGACTCTCTCTCACCATGTTTCTAACTCTCTATCCCTCTCCTTTCCTCTCTGTAAAAAATCAACAAAATAAATTTAAAAAAAAAAAGTTTAAATGATCTAATGAAGACATGGCGGCTTTAATGAAAACTATAGAAAGTATATTTTAATAAACAATAAATAATTCAAATACTTACTCTACTAGGAACCTTTGTACTCACTCAAGACAGAGAAACATTAAGCTAAAATTATTTTTTCATTGTCATGATGAAAAAGCTTTTAGTGTTATAAAAAGTGTATTTTGATAGTTAATTTAGGAATCTGAATAATTTAAGTACACACTTACAAATTATTTCTTAATTTGAAAACAAATTAATCTCAGGCATATAAAACTAAGTACCTTTCCCCAGTATGAACAGAATTAAAATGGCAATGTGTCCACAAGGTAAGTATTTTAAATGTTCCAATGTTACTTACTGAATTAATGCATGAAATCGCTCAAAGCCAAGCTCTTCGACAGCCAAGGCAGCTATACATAAAAGACACTTTTCAGCACTACACATGGCAAATAAATGACACAAGATACACACAGCAGGCTGTAAATACTTTCAAGCAATCAAAATTTTCCCTCTTTTCTCACTCCCTTAAAATCCTCAGTTTATTTTCAACTTTAGTATTACATAAATTTATATTTAAACATTTTAGTTACCATGATTATACCTAAAATTGATATAATACTGAGAGTGTAGAAGTATAAAATAATACACTTCTTTTTAATTCAGTTATGCTGGGATCGTTTATAAAATACAAAATATTATTGGCAATCATAGTGCTTCACACATCATTGTAATGTGTCCTGCACTTTTATATAATCTTTCATTCCATTTATCCAAGTAAAATCATCAAAGCTAATCTTCCTCTTTATAATATAAATCTTTACATTGAATGCTTAACTATTAAACAAAATGTGTATAAAAAGGCATAGCATCTTGAAACTATACAGGTTCAAGGACAGCTTTAAGTTTGTTTCCACATTAATTCATATAACTGTTGAGAATTTTCAGTAACTTACTTAGATTACATTTATTAATACAGCACAATTATAAATTTTTAAAAATCAAAGAAAGCATTTAAATCAAAGGTAATGCTTATTTAGCACTTTTCTGAGTGCCAGGCCCCTTGCCAAATGCTGTACTGGTCTTACCTCACTTAACCCTCTTAACAACTCTAATTGTCCTCATTTCACAGAAGAGGAAACTGTGGCACAGAGAAGAATCCTCTCAAGTGCACACAGCAATAAACAGCAGAGCTGAGATTTCAATCCTGAGTCTTGGCTCCACAAAGATAAAGTCTTTAAAGATGAATAAAAATGCGTACTCAATTTATCACAATAAATAATTTCATATGTATTTATATATATACTTTATAAAGCAAATCTTAGTACTTTCAAATATTAATTCTCAATTTTTGATTTACAATTTAAAAGGTCACATTACATTAGCCTTTCAAAGTCTAGTATCAATATTCAAATGTTTAAAATTACTTTTTAAAATCTTTAAAAATACAATGGCTTAAGTAATCTTTTAATTTGTGTGGGAAACAAACTGAAATTGAACCTGAGTGTTCTACTGCAAACAAGTGTGCGTTACCAGAAGCCAAAACTATACACACCACACAAGCCAATGAAATTAATGTTTGTGCAGAATGACAATGGGGAAAATAGTTCACATTTAAAATTTCAGGATAAAATAAAAATTCTACCTAACGTTTTCCAAATTGTACTAATTTTCCTGTATCTGATTATCTAAATAAAATTGCTGGGCATTCACTACAAAAGTTGTCATAAAGATTGTAACTTAGAGAAAGGAGGCAAGCAAAATAAAAAAGTTAGCAGGCAGGATAATGGAAAAATGTAAAACACAAGGAAAAAACATAGCTGGGAATAAAGGAAAGAATAAGCAAATAGATTGTTACATGGAATAAAAATTTTAATGTAAGTTCATTTCATTTGTCAATATCTAAAGTAAATTTCTTAAATTTTCAGTTAACAAAACTTTTTAAATTTATAGATTATAAAAAAATATTTTTAAATCTGGTTTTATTCATGTCAACTTTAAAAATGAGGCACAGTAAATTGGAAAATCAGTAAAAATGTTTATTGAAAAGGAATTCAATATAGTATGCCCACCTAAATTAGTTCCAAATTAAACGCATTATGAGGCCACTCAACCTATCACTATGAAATGTATAGCACAGTCCATAAGTATGCAGTATAAACTAAGATACTAATAAAAAGAGTTATAAAAAAGATCTTACTATTTTCTTATATTTGAATAAAAAACTAGCTTTAAGCACCTAATCTTTAAAATAATTTTAATTAGTTCAACTATTTTGACAAAATGTTAACTTAATGAAACTATTAATATGCTTACATGTAATCCAGTCAAACCTAGAAAATATTTAAAAACAATCTTTTTTAACTTAATGACATTTTTTACTATTATCCTAGAGAATATTTTCCACTTATTTCTTTCAACTATATTATCAACTCTAAAAGTGTTAAATTTTTTGAAAGCTTATATTGAAAGGCCTGAAAATAAAAATGTCATTGAACTATCTAAATTTTTTAAATTCTTCCTTGTAAATGTGCTATTAGAATTTGCCATTGTAACTGCAGAGGAAGGAGAGAAAATGCTGACATCACAGACACATTTTAGCTCAAAAAAGGCAATAGTGCATCACATTCAGTCCTACAGGGAAAGCAAGATGTAGATAACAAACAATGAAAATTTACTTTCTAAAAATCGGTTGTCTAATTTCCTTAAAAACAATTTCCAATGTTAGTTAATGGAATGCATTATAGGTAGAATAAGTCACTTATTATTTACAAGCACTTGAAACTACCAATTATCAAAAGCCAACTGCTAGCAAGATAGTTCCTAGAAAGAAAAACTGGACAGCAACTCTTTTTTATCTAGTTTCTATACCACTAGTTCATGCTGGCAGGTTTTAGGCCAATTACATTAGAATTTTCAAAGGCTAACGACTACAGAACATATTATTTTTATAATGAGAATAGTTATTTAGTTTATTTTGAAGAAAAATCTTTCAAGCACAAAAAACTTAAATGAAGGCAAAATTAGAACTCATAATTAAAGTTACTTTAAAATAATTCATATATAGTAACAATATCCAAAAAGCTCAAGAAGAATGGAAATGTAATTTAAAAAAAAAAGTCCCCATCTTTGCTCTATAAAGTTACAAAAACTACTTTAAGAGATTTTCTGAAGTATAAAAAAAAAGTATTGCCGAAACCAGTTTGGCTAAGTGGATAGGGGGTCAGCCTGCTGACAGAGGGGTCCCGGGTTCGATTCCAGTCAAGGGCATGTACCTTGGTTGCGGGCACATCCCCAGTGGGGGGGGGTGCAGGAGGCAGCTGATTGGTATTTCTCTCTCTCCCTTTCTGTAAAAAAATCAATAAAATATATTAAAAAATATTTTTTTTCTTCCCTAATACAAAGTAAACATTAAAGCATTTGAAATTTAAACTTTCTAAATGAGAGTTTCAAAGCTCACAAAAGAATGTCATCAAGCAGGAGAATTTTTTTTTTAATTTAAGAAATACATTTCCTTTTTTCCAAAAAAAAAGAAAAAAAAGAAAGAAAGAAAAAAACAAACAAATGCAATGTCCTTTAGTAATTAAAATAATCAAAATGGAAATGAAAAATACGAAGGCCCATGAATTAAGCTTCAGCTGAAAAAGAGACATGTTATGAAATTTTTAATTCTTTAAAATTGTCAATAGTTCTATTAAAACAAAGGCATAAGAAATTACTTTAAGGAAAAAAAAATGTATCTTACAAGAAGAATGCTCCACTTGGCAACTAGACTCTGCAGGACTCCCAGAAATACTAGCATTTTCCTCAGCTGTCTTTCCTCTTAACCATGAAACCAAGCAGTATGATCCAGAGTTGTCACAACAGGCACTTTCTAAAATATCATATAAGGTGTGACAAAGGAGTTCCTTCCGCTCTTCCTCTAAAAATAACCGAAATACAAATTATAATGGTTTCCTTTGGGGGGAAAAATAATCCGGGCATGAATAACAATCTTAACTACGAATGTTTTCATTTAATGAAAATCAAGCATTCCAGGTGGGGGATAAATCTGTAACAACTGATCTGAAATTATTTTAGAAAATAATGTGCTTGAGGGTTACAATATCACCATTACTAAATATTTCCATTACTGAGAAAAAAGAATCCTAAAAAATACACAATTAAACATTAGTAGAAAAAAGTATGTTACCTGATGCAATCAACTCTCTCTTACCTGCAAATGAAACATTTAAGTCACAAGGTTTCCTTTATTATGTAAGGGCCTATTGTGACCTCTATTTTTTCCCCATTTCAGAATTAATCTAATGTATTTAATCTTCCTGTCCCATAGAATAAGGATAATGAGATAACATACCCTCAGAACCAACACCACCACAATCCATTACATGAGCAGGGGCCATTGTTGTTATGTTGCATAATATAGAAGCTACTAATACTGTATTACAGTGATTTGAACATAGATTTTGCACAAATGCTCAATTTCTTCCTGAATCTTAGCCACCTTCCCCTTTTCAAGAAGTATTACTATCCAAAAGTAATACTGCTTTCTGAAACTTTCAAACAAAGAGGATAAAATGTACACATAGCATATGTAAAATTGTATGCTATAGGGAGGTTTCTATTTCTCCGAACAGACTTAAAGTTCTTTAAAGGCCAGAACTATGCCAATCATTTTATAACCTCCACAACATATGACATTTATGACAATGCATATACATTTTTATCAATATGAATAATTTCTGTGCAAGCAATCTAATTAATAAAATGTACATGTTAATATTATCTTTTGAATCGTCTCTTCTCTATTAAACTTTATTTTGCATTCCCACTATTTGCATTCCCACTATTAATGAATAAAATAAATAAATAATGATACTTTTAACTCTTAAAGTCAAAATCTCTATGGACATGATCTGGAATGGAAGTTGTTTTGCCCTTATATACTAACTGAGATTATAATATATTCTACCTCCTTTTAGAAGGTGTTACGGTGCTCGCTTCGGCAGCACATATACTAGAAGGTGTTACGAAGTCCACATAAAATTGTGTAAGTAGATTTTTGTACACTGTCAAGTGAATTATAAGGTAGCAGCAGACAGCTCTCTGACCTAAGCATATTGCAGAAGCTATGGCAGCTTCATTTGCAATTTAATTTAGAATTACTTGCAATATTATTTGCATTGTGTAAGACATTATACTAAAATATGCAGAAATACAAAGATAACTGAGTTCCTGCTCAGAGCTAAGACAAAACAAACATTAAAAAAATCCTTATGATATGCTATAATTTAACAGTTTAGGGTGCTCTACCCTTATTTTAGCAAGAGGCCAACCTTTTTCCCTTAGTTATATTATCCTGTCTTATATGTCTTGGGAAAACCAAATTGGAAATATATGCGTTTAAAAATTTGGAGTCACTTACCATGAATTTTTCTGAAATATCAAAAGAAAGAAAGAAAGAAAGAAACATGCTCAGCCAGTGTGGTTCAGTGGTTGAGCATCAACTCATGCACCAAGAGGTCATGGGTTCGATTTCCGGTCAGGGTATATACCCATCTTTGGCTCGATCCTCAGTAAGGGGCATGCAGGAGTCAGCCAGTTGTTGTTTCTCTCTCATCAATGTTTCCATCTCTTTCTCCCTCTCCCTCTCTCTCTAAGAATAAAAACATATCTTTAAAAAAAAAAAAAAAAGAAAGAAAGAAAGAAACCTAAAGAAAAATATCCCATTGACAGTGCACGTTTTAAGATAGGTAATTTTAACTTAACTATTGCCATGAATGTTGCATAGATCACCTGTAAAATAGAGGATGGAGTAAACATTTATAAGGCTATCATACCTGGGCAATCCCTCCAAGAAGACTTCTCAGAAGAAAACAGGAGCTTCTTCAAAAGAAATGCCTTTATACAATTAAAGCAATAATTATTACCATACATCATAAATATGCCTTACATATATCATTTTTTATTTTAAAATATAAAACAACTAATTTGCACCTCCTTTCTAATATTTTGAATAGCGCTATGAAAATTTCAAATGGCTCCCCTTCACATTCAACAGTATCTGGGGATAATTATTTATCCAGGAAATACTATTATAAACTTAATTCTATGTCCATAAAATTCTTCTTCTTTCATAATACATATTTTTTGATAAATAGAAGAACTGACTCAAAATCAGACACATGACTGGAAACTTAAATGTAAAGTGAAAGCCTTATAAAACAGAAATAAGTTCACATTTCTCTTTGATTCCTTGGAGGAAAAGAAATCTAAATACAAGAGTGATTCTGCTCTATTAGCTCTGATTTGTGATACAATACCACTATGAATCATCACTCTATAAGAAGCTTCTAACTTCCTGGTTTAACTAAAACAGTTGTAAGATTTAAGAGGGGGGAAAAAACCTGATTTCTAACCTTTCCTTACATGAACCAACTATGTTACATTGCTGATTTAATAGAAAATACTTCACTGTAGTACAGTGTTTCTTTCTTAAAACTGCAGTTCAAGGACTATAGCATCCTAGTCTTACCTAAATTTTTTGCAATGTTTTTTGCTGCTATAAATATAAAAGCTATTTCTTGACTACAATGTTTCCCATATTAAAGGTTATTTCTTTAGGAAAGATACACACAGAAGTACAATTATTACACTAAAAAACTGCATTATCATGGTTCCAATTATAATGTAAAATTCCTTCCAAAATCTAAGTACAAATTTATACTACATAGTGATATATGAGTATGCCAGCATTATCCTACCTTACATGCACTGGCAATTATTTTCTATTTAAAGATTAGCAAGAGTAAGCAGTTTAGACTCTAGTTACAGTTTTATTTGTACTTTCATGGATTCCTACTGAGGTTGAACATCTTGATTCTTTGGCTGTCCAGCACCACTTCAGCTGTTCTGATTGCATATACATGTTCATTTCACCTCTGGGGTCTTAGTGTTTTATAACCAATTAGTTCAAAATCTTTGTTTAAGAAAGACAACATCTATTCATTGTTAATATTCACTGCAAATATTTTTCTGAGTCTGGAACTCATACTTTCTCTTAGATGGTTGACAATACATTATTTTTAGTTTTTCAGTGGTTTAATATTATATTAAGAATATATTTGGTATATGATATGTAATTATCTAAATTTATTTTTCTTTCTCAAACTGCCAACCAGTCATATCAGTGACACTTAGTAAACTTCATTTTTCTCCACCACTGATTATTTGGTTCTATAGTATAACTATTCTTTTAGCAATAGCACATATTTTATTTTTTGCAATTTAGCAATTGCTCATTTCCCTTCATTATTCTTAATGATTTAATTTTAACTTTTACTTGAAGTTGCAATATAAATAAAATTCCTCTATGACTGAAAAGATTTATGTGACTATGAAAATAAATTACCTCCTCAAAGATACATCAGGATTTTGAACATTACAGTTATCTCTTTTAAAATAACAACCCCACTTGCAAAAATAACTGCCATTTTGGAAATGTAATGAATCTTATAAAACACAAAACTCCTATGGTATATCTTGCATTTATTTATATCTTGCATTTAATTATATGCACTGACTTACAATAAATAAAGAGCTGAGGGTACTATTAATGACCCAAGGGGACAAAGCTATTATATTCTAACTTGCAAATGAGAAGGACAAGGAATCGTCAAATTTAGATAATAAGATTCCAACTAGCAACCAAAATTTGCCTCAGTTACTCAACATAATTTCTCTAATCAATTTTTGGTCAAGTTTTATCCTTTATATTCAGTAACTCCCAAGCAAAGCTCAAACATTCAATTTTTTCTAAATTTTTAAAATAATTCTACTAATGCAAAAATATATCAATTCTTTAAAGAAATAATGACTTACAAAGGATATTACTTTAGAATCAGCCCTGAAGGGAGATTTTTTCCCCCTCCTTCAAGGAATATATTTTTAATTTAACAATGTAAGTGTATAAAGTATAAGTTTTGAAAAATTTACTTTGAAACTAACAATTCAGAAATGCATTCTTTATGCCCAATGAATAATAAATAACACATTAAATATTTATTTTCAAAACCTGCTGATTGAACATAAAAAACAAATTCAAGCTTCTTTTGTAACAGCTCTAAAGTTACATTTGCTGTTTCAGACATAAGTGTAACAATAAACTGAAAATTCTATTTTTGGTTTAAACAATGTAATGGTTATAACAAATCAGCCTTTGAAATTCAAACAATGTTACACATCAATATTCAAAATCAAATACATATATTCATATTAACCCTATCTTTTATGGGATTAGTAAAATAACAAATAAATATTTTTAAATATTTTATTATTTTGCAAATTCTGTTTTAAATCAGTTGCAACTAACTTTAATTTAAAAGCCAAAGTAATACCCTAAAATACTATAATCTGTCAAATTATTTTAGAAATTTATAAAGTTTTAGGTCATGAAAATATACAACATTTTAAGAATATTATTCTTATAGAGAGATCAAATGAAAATAGTATCATTGCTATAATGTACTTATCTGTAGTATAAAATGTTATTATTCAACAGGAACATTGTATTAGAAAGATGACATGATCATTAATTCGTAATTTTCTGAAAATCACGGAAAACTTATTATGCTTTCTCAAAAATATAATCCAGCCCTAGCTGATTTGACTCAGTGAATAGAGCATCAGCCTGAGGACTAACGGGTCCCAGGTTCAATTCTGGCCAAGGGCACATGCCTGGGTTGCGGGACTCGATTCCTCCCCCTCAAGTAGGGGGCATGCAGGAAGCAGCCAATCAATGATTCTCATCATTGATGTTTCTATCTCTCTCTCTTCCTCTCTGAAATCAATAAAAACATGTTTTTAAATATATATATAATCCAAAGGCTATTGCTGTGTAACCTACTCATGTTCTGAATTCACTTTTTTTTATTAAATTTATTGGGGTGACATTGGTTAAAAAAATTATATAGGTTTCAGATGTACAGTTCTGCAATACATCATTGGTGTGTTCACCACTACAAGGCAAGTCTCCTTCCATCACTATTTATTCTTCCTATACCTTCTTCTAGTTCCCCCAAGCCCCTTTCACATCTGGTAATCACCATACTATTGTGTCTCTGCTGAATTCACTTATATTTTTTATATCTATAGCAATTTACATGAACAAAAGTTGAGAGGTAACTGACCATGCATCATGATTACAGAGTATATGTATATTAGGAAGCAAAAAGTAAAGTATGAAATGTTTGAACACATCCTTCTAAGGAGTTGATAAAATAGTCTATGTTACCTGAACAGGTGCAATAACAGCACAGGGGCCACCTTCAAACTGTTCTAATGCAGATCCCTCTGATTCACTAAACACAAACCCTAAAAATGAAAGCAAGTAGCAAAGATTAAAAATGTAATTCAAGTAGCAGCTAAAAGAATGTTTAATGTACTTTACTTTGAGAAAGATCACTTATCACACAGCAACATATCTTCAAGTCAGGAACCATGTTAACTTTTGGGGGGGATCAAAGAAGCCTTTAAAAAAAGGTATGGGACCTATGCTTCCCTACACAATGCACATAAACACTTACACACACATGCACACACAATATTTTGTATCCAGGGACCCCTCTAAGTGGACTAGGGGGATGAAGTGTGGAAAAGAATACCAAATCTGACTTTTATATAATTTCATTTTCTTGAAGACTAGACAGTCAACCTACTGAATTCAAACAAAATTTCAGGACTCTTTCCATACAGTCCCAATTTTTTGTCTCTATAAGTTGAAAATTATTAAATGGCATCATATGTTAACAGTAAATGTACTCATATTGGCTCTGTCTTAATTTAGATATTCCCCAACCATACTGTCTGAGAGCAGCTAGTAGAAGTTGCCACAGAGAGCACTGGCACACGCAGCACAAGGACAGAAGTGAGAATTGCGTTACTGTGTGTATAACCTTTAGAAAATAATTTTACATCTGTTATCTTCAAAGTGATCACTTCCAATTCCAACAGGCTAGGAATATGTAAAGTTTCATTAAAGATTATATTTCAGTCACTCATCCAACAAATATTTAATGGGCATCAGATAATGCACCAAGCATCGAAGATATAAGCATGAATGAGTCCGTAGTCTGGAGGAGCCAGCAGTTCAAGTGAAAGCAGACATATGAACAAATAATCACTGAAATAAAGAAATAAATGTTAAAACAGAAGTATGAAGATAGTGTTGTTGATACAGAAAGGAACAACTGCCTTGAGTCGCATGGCTCAATGGATAGAGTGTTAGCCTGTGGACTGAAAGATCTTGGATTCAATTCCCAATCAAGGGATCCTACCTAGGTTGCAGGTTCGATCCCAGTTCTAGTGGGGCACATGTGGGAGGCAATAACTGATGTGTCTCTTCTCTCCCCCAATCCCACCCATTCTCTCTCTAAATATCAATAGATTAAATTGATATTTAAAATTAAATCCTCCTTGGGTGAGGATTAACAAAAAAAAGGTATGACTTACTCTGTCCAAGTCAAATTATAACAGGTGACTTTGAGGTTGATCTAGAATAGGAATTTTCCAGAAAAGCAAGGGTGGGAAGATAACTTTCAGGTAAAGAAAACCCTTTTTAAAGGATACAGGGTAAGAGCAAGGCACATTTATGGATCAGATGGGAATTTAATGTAGCTGAAAGGCAATATGGGGGTAGGACAGAAGAGATGGTAAATAGGAGGAGTGGATACTGACAAGAGGTTAATAATGGAAAGGGCCACACCCTGACAAGTACTAGTATTATCATACTTTTTTTTTTCTTTTTTAAGTGACTAGAATAGGGATGAGGATGTTTCAACAGTCCTATAAAGACAGTGCCAAACTGATAAAAGCAACACAGTGCGGAGGAGAAACTATATCCAAACAATATGTCTGTGGTAAACATTAAGATTTGATGAGTACCTGCAAGTAGGACAAAGGCTTGGTACAAAAAGAAATTAGAGCTGACTGAAATATCTAGCTTGAGATACTGCATGATAGTAAGTGAGGTAAGAAATAGCATAGAGCAGTGATTTTCAACAGGTGTGCTGCAAGAATTTTTACAACATGCAATACCTGATTACTCTGTCAGGGACACTGACTTCTTTCCCCTTAGACTATCAAGTAAAAAATGACAACAGCAACACAATAGCCATCCAGTGTGAATGCCCTGTCTTGAACTATAAATATATATGCTAGAGGCCTGGTGCATGAAATTAGTGCACCCTCTCCAATCTGGGACCTTTTGGGGGACATCCCTCTTACAATCCAAGACAGCTGGCTCCTAACCGCTCATCTGCCTGCCTACCTGGTTGCCCCTAACCGCTTCTGCCTGCCAGCCTGATCACCCCCTAACTGCTCCCCTGCAAGCCTGATTGATGCCTAACTGCTCCCCTGCCAGCCTGATGGCCCCCAATTGTCCTCCCCTGCCCTGATGGCCCCAACTGCCCTCCCCTGCTGACCTAATGCCCCTCAACTGCCCTCCCCTGCCAGCCTGATGGCCTCCAACTACCCTCCCCTGCCAACCTGATCACCCCCAACTGCCCTCCCTGCAGGCCTGATTGCCCACAACTGCCCTCCCCTGCAGGCTTAATTGTTCCCAACTGTACTCCCCTTCTGACCTGATTGCCCACAAGTGCACTCCCCTACCAAGACCTGCCTCCTCTGGCGGGCCCTGCCTCTGCTGTGCATGCAGCCATCTTGTGACAGTCATCTTGTGAGGACGTTAGGGAGTGATGCGTGAGAGCATGACAACCACCTAGGGTATTATTAGTATAGATATGAGTCATATAATCTTATTGGTCACTTTGCATAATAAGGTTACACCTGATTGGTTAATTCTTGGTATGATACTAGAAATCTTTATATACAAGAATAGACACCTGATTTTTTTTTTAAATCACTTTGGAGCAAAAAAGGGTAATTACTATTCTGATTTTTGTAAAATTATACCTTTTGGTCAGATGGGCAAAAATGTATATTTTGGTGTGCTACAGAATTTTGGTAATAAGTTTATGTATGCCATGTGATGAAAAAGGTTAAAAATTGTTGATGTAAGATGATCCCATCCCTACCTACTTCCTCTCTCTTTACTTTTTAGTCTCTTTCAAACAGTATTTATATGTGTATCATATATTTAAGAACAAAAACACCTTCAGATCCACCAAAACTCCTTGGAATTTTGCCCAAAGGAGATGAAAACATATGTCCACAAAAAAACCTGCAAACAGATGTTTATAACAGCTCTATTTATAATTGCCAAAACTTGGAAGCAGCAAAGATATCTTTCAGTAGGTGAATAGATAAATTGTGGTTCATCCAGACAATATTATAGAATATTATTCAGTGTTAAAAGGAAACAAGCTTGCAAGCTATGAAAAGAAATGAAGAAACCTTAAATGTGTATTATTAAGTAAAAGAAACCAAAGTGAAATGGCTACATACAGTGTACAATGCCAACTAAACTATGGAGACAGTAAAAAGATCTGTGGTTGCCAGTGGGTTGGAAAGGGAGAGATGTGAGATGAATACTAGTAGATAAAGCACAGAAGATTTTTAAGCTACTGAAAATACTGTTGTTGTAGGCAATCAGACAGACAAGTAGAGCAAAGACTATGGGTCAGGTGCCCAGCAAAGGGCAGTCAGTTGTAGGGTGGGACCTTGCCCCCAGGGACTTTTCCTCCCCTAGCATATTGCTGGTCAAGCAGTTTGGACCCCCTGACCTTTCCTACCTAAAGATAACATCTATGCCTCAGTTTCAACAAAACCGGCCTCAGGACCAGCTGCACTGAATACAGAGCACTTGCCCTGTTGTCAACCAATCAATCAATGGAGACCACAATCCTGACAGGACACATCTAGAAAACTGCTGAGTATTATATTGAGATCTTCTCCTGGGACCCCCCCCTAAAATCTCTATCCTTAAGCCACTTAGGATGGAGGGCCCAGTGTGCTCTCTGTCCAGGGAACACTCCTGTGCCTTTCCCTTTCCCTTCCCCTTCCTCCTCTTGACCCAGGCACATCACCATTGGCTTCCTCACTCCCAAGCTCCAAGGGCCCTTCCTTGACCTCTAACTTGTTTCCTAAAACCACTTCTTCTAGAAATTACTATTTCTACCTCTGTAATTTACCCAATAAATGTTCTCTTACAGTTTGGGTCTGGATTCTGAATTCTTTCCTAGCCAGAGCCCAAGTACTGAGGTTGCTAAACCCAGGTTTGGTCTGACCCCACTGGTATTATACCTGGTGCTGTTCCCACCACCTACAAAACTATGATAGCGCAATGTTGGCATATCATTTACATTTGTCAAGACCCATAGAATGTACAACACCAAGAGTGAACCCTAATGTAAGATATGGACTTTGGATGATAATGATATATCAACATAGCTCTATCAATTGTATTATAACAAAGGTACCTACCACTCTAGTAGAGGATATTGATAATAGGGATGACTGTGCATACTATTGAGGGAGCAAGTGATATATGGGAAATCTCTGTATCTTCCCCACAATTTTGCTGTGAACCTAAAACTGCTCTAAAAAAGAAAAGTTTTAACTTAAAAACTCATTTGACCATAAAAAAAATAAGACCCTTCACCAAAAATTCTAATCACCATGCATTCTCTCAAAGCCCACTTAGTTGTCTATATGCACTGTCTAAATTTTCTTATCTCACAATTTACTTAATCCACAATAATCTGGTTTTCAGTCTGTGGCTATACAAATTCATTTTCACTGTTAGGTCTGATCAAATAATCAAACTGATATGCCCTCCCCTCAGAAACTGACCAATAAAAGCTATTTCTTCACCTCTTTTCTTTTTTAATCTCCCAGAAAATTATCAGAAGTGTTGACCACTGACTTTTTTTTTTTTTTTTTTTTTTTTTTTTTATCTCAGAGAGGAAAGGAGAGGGAGGAGGTAAGGGAGGGAAACATCAATGATGAGAGAGAATCATTGATTAGCTATTTCCTGTATATCCCCTCCTGGGGACTGAGCCTGCAACCCAGGCATGTGCCCTCGACTAGAACTGAACCTGGCACCCTTTAGTCCACAGGCTGACGCTCTATCTACTGAACCAAACTGGCTAGCACCACTGACTTCTAAACCTTTTGTCCCTTGGTTTTATTGGTTCCTCTTGCTCCCAACTGTTCTATTTCTTCTCAGTCTCCTTGATCAACTCCTTTTATTTTTTTTTTTTGTTGTTGTTGTTGTTTAAATTTATTTTTTTAATATATATTTTATTGACTTTTTACAGAGAGAAAGGGAGAGGAATAGGAGAGAAACATCAATCAGCTGCCTCCTGCACACCCCCCACTAGGGAAGTACCCACAACCAAGGCACATGCCCTTGA